CAGTATCTCTTTAAGCCACCCTCCATCTGTAAAATAACTATTATTTTACCATTTAGTCAGAGATGTGTGAACAACAGTTTTGACATTATTTCACACTATTTAGAGTAGCACACGTGTCTCAGAAGCCAAAAAATGTTGTCAAATTGGACAATGAAACTAACACACTTCTCTTCATCACGGAGGAAAAACGTCTACTTTCTAAATGCATGTTATTACTCATCTTATGGTAAAGTGGCAGACTTTCCTCTGGTGATGTATGCAAGACTTATCCAGTCATTTAGTCTGCTTTCTTTAATCTACAGCAAGCTCTCATTTAGATGCCTCCATCCTATCAACAGCCAATAGATAGAACCAAGTCCTGCCCTACATATTTTTCTTAATCAATAATCTGTTTTACTTAGGTGTACATCACAATGTGGAAGAAAAAAATCTGTCGCTACTTCCATTACATCGCTTCCATAATATGCAAATGAATGGGTGACCAAAAGTTGACACGTCAAAAACCACGCAAAGCAAACGTAAGAGAGTAACCCATATATCCCAAGCTGATGAGAAAAATACTAATATTTGAAACTTTGGATAAACCACCAAACCAGTATAAACCATCGCTTCCAGCCATACGTGCATTAATAAAAGTGTTGTAAAGCGCTGCGTCAGCATGTTGTGTTGTCGTTTGTCAATTTTATTAGTTATTTAATATTGTCAAGATGCACTTTTCAACATTTCACTTTAAAAAACAGCACTTATTACAGAAATAGTACTTAATTGCAAACTGTAATGTAATGTTTTTGGACACTGGCATGTTATTTACAATTAAATAAAAAAATTATTATGATGTACATTTTTGTTGGAACTCGGGTCGATCGCGTCAAAAAGCACACGCTTTACCATCTACACCATTTAATCCGTTTAATAACCGTAACCGTTTAATAAGTGTCTTTTTTCAGTGTTGACTATCCGAATCACACGTTGGTGGGCGGAGTTAGTGCAAATAGCCTCTGCCAACAAGGCAGGCTATTTGCACTTATTGTAAATAGACACTCCGTATATTTTAACATCCAAATAAATCGATTCAGCTTCTTTATGCCATCACAAGCTGCTTTTGATGTAACTTACAATTAATTTAAGCAAATATATGCTTCATCACATTTATACCAATCAATGTCAGCTTATGGTGTTCATAAAAATTATTTTATTTTAACTGAACAGGAAAAATAATCTAGCCGGAATAGCTGTGCATCATTAAATAAAAAGAAAAATAGCATGAGTTTATTGCAGTGTAGACAGATTTTTGGATGCTGGTTTAAGAGCAGTGGAAACTGGTTTGGCCATTTTGTAAATGCACAGGATGAGATTGAGCACCGGCTCCAGATCCAGCACCCGTCAGTGGAAAAGAGCTACACATGGCCCATCTAGCAGTGCTGCGTCAGGGTTTAGACTACAGCAGAGACAACATTTACCAGCAGCAGCCTACACGTGTAATCCCATTGGCAGGAGCGTGGGATTCCTGAGCTATAGTTAGATCTGAAACAACTCAATTAATCCCTGACAAATAGAGCAATTAAACGTGATCTGCTCTGAACGCTGGGAACCACGCATGTTCGTTCACACGAGACGGTCATTACGAAACCGGCGTGGCGATGGGAAGAAGAACGATAATTGTTTTCGTGACTTATTGTTTGTTTGTTTGAGTCTGTGACCCATTCTAATCTGTCATCTGGTGTATTACTGGGGCGCAGACTACAAGAACAACAGATGTTTCATCTCCCTAGATTCCTTCAGACTTCCACACACACACACACAGACACACACACACACACACACACTGAAGTGCTGCAGCTACAGTTGCGCTCTGCTTAGCATGTCTGCGGTGGGTATTTTTCTAAAGGTGTGTGGCACATCTGCGCTGCCATTGTTTATTCATGCGCCGGAGCCTTTGAAACGTGCTAAAATGCTTCCCACTCATTATAAAACTCCTGCCACCCGTGGATTAGCACTTTGATGTCACCAATCCGGCTTCAAAGGCTCCTTCAGTACCATTAATCAGAGTTTAGTCTCTGAAGACCCAGCCAGGGAAAACATTTGGACATCTTGTGCAGAAACTTTTGAAAAGCTCAGACGGTGCTGCATATGCAACAGTGGGGTTTTATATCACAAAGACGTGTGTGTGTGTGTGTGTGTGTGTGTGTGTGTGTTTAAGGAAGCGAGAGAAGAGGAAGCAGAAAGAGAGAGTGTATTAACGACAGAGAGAAAGAGAGATGAGAGACAGTGACGGCTCACTCTGATCCTGAACGCTCTCAGCACTGGATATTAGACAGTGCATAGGTCACAAGGTCACAACACGGGCTTCATTGAGGCTGTCTGTTAAAGGGTTTTTGTCTTAAATAAGAGTTCTACTCTAATTCCCCATATTACATCACAAAACACTGTGATGTAGTTCAGTTAGAGGGTAAATGAAGGTCATTGTCTGCTATGTGGTGCACTCTACTAGCCCAGAAAAGTAGAGACTCTTGTGTTGGTTTTGCCAGTTAAAACACTGTGATGTAGTTCAGTTAGAGGGTAAATTAAGGTCATTGTCTGCTATGTGGTTGCACTCTACTAGCCCAGAAAAGTAGAGACTCTTGTGTTGGTTTTGCCAGTTTCAAGGGCTATAGTTGTATTACAATGAGCCATTATAATAAAGAAAGTTTAAGTTTGTCACTTGTCAATTTTATTAATGTTATTTAATATTGTCAAGATTAACTTTAACATTTCACTTTAAAAAACAGTACTTATTACAGAAATAATATGTAAGTGCAATCTGAATGTAATGTTTTGGACACTGGCATGTTATTTATAATTATATAAAATTATTTTATTTTATTAATCGCAATTAGCTGAACATTAGAGTGCTGTTTGACTCTTTTAAGTAGGACTTAAGTATATCTTTATATGTAACTTCATAATTACTTCTGTTGTCTCTGAAATATATTAAAAGTGTACTGCCAAATGTACTGCATTTATATGCATTCATAGTAAGCTAAAATATAATTTAATGTTATTAATATATTTGAAATTACACATTTGTAATGATGGTGCAATTTGGTAAACATGTATTAACTTTAAATGTAATATCATATAAAACAGACTAGTTTTGTCACGGTACCAAAATTTCAGTATTCGGTACCAATACCAGTGAAAATCCACAGTTCTCGGTACCAAAGCAAAACACAAAAACATGCTAATTGAACAACATTATTTTTTATTAATAACGTTAAACAAAAATTAAATGTACAAAACCAATGCCATTCTTTATACTTATTTAAAATTGTTTCAAGTTTTTCCACAAGTAATAAAAGTATGAAAAAAGTTCACCCCAAATTTTTTGTCATATTTCTGCTGCCACTGAAAAACATCTGTAAACTGTTGTCTGTTTTAGGGTTTGCTGGTGTGTTTCATGATCTTCCTGCATCTGCAGCTGTAAAAGGAAAATATAATATACTTAAGTAAAGCAATGGGCTGAGTCTGACCAAATGGTAAAAGGAATAATATACTTCAGTAAAGCAATGGACTGAGTCTGACCAAATGCAACATTAGATCATTGACACCAGCTAAAGTATAACTTTTCAGTAAATAACAAACCTCAGCTTTTATAATAAATTTAGATAAGATGATTACATATATTAAGTGTATATCAAATAGATGGCAACTGTAGTATTAAAAACAATAAGATTCCATTTGTTAGATAACATGACCTAACAATAAACAATAGTTATATAGCAATTCTTCTTCTTAGGGTTAAGTTCAAAATGTACTATTACATAAATCACAAGTTCAATCTGTTAAAATTATTCAATGCACAATGAACAAACATGAATGTTCAAGTGTTTGTATTAAATAACATTCACACATTCATTGTAAAAATATATTGTTCACTCACTAGTTACTAGATCTAACACATGTTAGATAACATGAAGTCATTCTGAAGTCTATACAGGAGATACAATTTGACTGTACTTTTATTTAATCCAAACTGTGTTCATATTTAATTGAACTAACTGTTACCTATACGCTAACGGCGATGCTTATTTCAATTCGACATTCAAATTCAAATATGGAATAATATTCATAACAGAAGCTCTAAATATTAAAAATGTAATTGAAACTTACCTGCTTGAACTCTTTCATTTGATCGGGGTGTCGGTCTTTAAGGTGTTTTGTTAGTTTGATGCGTTTCCTCCTCTTGAGGTCGCCACGTTTCAGTGCTTTTATGAAGAGGATAGCTTTGGGATAGCTCATCAAGAACCGGGTTGATACCACCGGTACTTAAGAAAACCTGGTACCGTAACGTTTTCAGTTTTTTAGTACCGACTTGGTACCGAAATACCGGGTCTTTTGACAACACTATAACACACTACAGTTAAAAATACTTCTTTAAAGCCTGAAAAAAAGATTCTTAAAACATAATGATTTAAAAAAAGTATTTTAAAGTAAAATAAAGTTTTAAAGTTTAATTTGACATTATATATATATATATATATACACACACACACACATATAGGGCACTTTAAAAGTATACTTAAGTGTGTTAAGACACAGTCATGAAAGTATGCTTTAAGTGCACTTATGGCCTTTTATTTCATCAATATTATATTATCTGCAAGGGAATTTATTTTAAATAGTATTTGAAGTACACTACAAGTGCCATCAAAAAAAAAAAAAGAAATTCAACATGTTGCATTGATTTTGAAAGCAATAAGAGTTTGATAACTGGCTATATATGTGGTATTTTTGCAGACACTGTTCCTAAGTGTAGAGCAATCTGGCATCAAGGATCACGATTGTAGTTTTTGTATTTATAGTCTAGACTAGTCTTTTGGCTGATCTCCTCCAGGGTTCAAACATGCATTCTTTGGGTTGCAAGCTCAGAGCGCTACATCACTATGTTGTTTTATTCATTTGTGCCTCAGAGAGGGAAGATTGATGTGTCACTGATCTGTGTTTCTTCTTTCGCTGAGCAGGTAACCTGGCCACATCCAGGGCAAGAGTGACAGCAGCATCCAGATCTCTGCCTCCACAGCTCAGCAGCGGGAGAAATAAGGTCCGTGCTGTCTTCTTTACAGTCAGACAGTCATCACAAAAATATCTTATTCATTTTTATGTTCGTTTCAGATGAAAATGATCACGGATTATCACATGATTCAGTTTCTTTTCTGATTTTTGAACAGTTTTATCTGTTCAGTAAAGGTGCAGATTTGATGTAAACTCAAAGCTTATTCATTTAGCTTAGATATTAGCTTTTTATATAATTTTCTCTGTGTTAAAGAGTCAGGTGTTACTTCATCAGCCACATGAAAAATACTTTTGCATCAGCTACAAATGCTGACTAAATATATTACAACCGGTGAAGCTCATGGTGTTATTATTCTGCCAGTGTTTTTACTCCAGAACCTCTGAACTCCTGTTTGCATGCTTTTCATTGTAAAATGAAACTTTTTATCTATTATCTGACTGTCTGAACTATCATCTCTCCTCTCAGTCTCCTAAATACCTGCTAAAGGTAAGAATCTCTTCATATCTGTCTTCATATTCATTAGCCTCATATTTTCTAATGCAACTCTCACTACTTTATTTTCTCTTTCTGGTTTGATTTAGTCTGTGAGCTAATGGAACAAAACCTAGAATATCCTTTATATATATATATATTTATTTTTTTTAAATAATCCTTAGACTACGAATCAATTTCATTTGAGAAGCAGCTTTAAAATAGCCACATCCTATGTATTTTATTCTATTTAAAGTCCACTTATAATGCTAATTATGTTTGTTTTGGGTTTTTTTTGCACCAAAACAGTCATAATTTAGTTTTTAGTGTCTATTTTCCACCCTCTCTCTGATCCTAACAATCCCAAGAAGAATTTTGTATATCTTTTTGTTCGTGTCTTTTAATGTACAGGTATATCTAAAAAATTACAAAATGTACTTTTAGTAGATATAGGCATTTAAAATTTACAGCATATCTTTTATAGGTTTTATAAAATATTGATTGTTCTTACTTGCAATACAACTTTTTTGTCCATTCAAATCTCTAAATTGAGATTGTGCCTCCCCTAATTCCACCTGCCACTGACTAGCAATAGAAATGTTGTACTGTACATATACAATAAAAAATATATATTTTTCAAAGTATTAAATAAAGCGATGTTTTACTGAAAAAAATAACATCCTTGAAACAATTTTCACTTATAAATTTCTAGCAAATTTCACAAATAATTACAAGGAAATGGCAAGTAACATATTGAATAAACATGCAAATTTAAATGAAAAAAGTATCCAATAATCTGTTTGATTTGCAACTTCTGAAAAAGGAATGTTTTATGTTTAATTTAATGTGTTACTTTCCGTTTCACTGTAAATATTTTTGAAAAGTGTTTCAAAAGTGTAGGAATTAGATTGTTTCCACTATAAAGCCCTTTAGTAATAGCAGAGCCCCAGGTGAGGTTTACATTTCTTTAGGTCTAGCACAGACCGAGGACTTCATAAAGCTGGGTTTGCTGTGGTAATGTATCCTGACTACAGTGCTGAGTTGCTGTTCTTATGAAGGAAAACCCTGGATAATTATTTCTCCCTTGTCCTCTGTTCTGTGTGTAAGATTAAAACCTCTGCTGTATCAGAGAAATAGAATTAGACACCGGAGCACAGAACCCAGTTCATTGGTTGCAGTTAATATTGCAGGTACTTTTAAACTGCTTCAGTCACAGATGAGACGCTTTACAGAGTTCTGCTTGTAAGTAGAAGTGGGACAGATGTCTTATTAAAACACTGGGTTAGTTCGATTGTCTCTCCGCCAGGGTGCATGTCCAACCCTTCAGTTTCTCATAAAGATCACACACATCTGCCTCTGCACACGCAGATGAAGTAGAATATGAAGACACTCTTTGCTGGTATAGACCTGCTCTAAATTATGTATCACCTTGATAAATTCATGAGGTCTGTTGTAGCGATGGCTGTTATACACATCATATCTTGTCCTTGTTAAGAACAGCTGGAAGCCTGAAGTTCATTATGAAAACACGTCCCTGCAGTATTCAACCCATCGTGCTTGGATCATGATGTTGATATGAATTGATCATTGTCTTTAATGGGATTATATAGTAGTAGATTTAAACAAAAACACTTTACAATAAGGTTCACTTTGTTAACATTAGTTAACTACATTAGTCAACATGAACTAACAATAACAAAAAATATTGTTACACCTTATTTTAAGGTGTTCTTGTTACAATGTAACTATACATTTAAGTACTGAGTAATATTAATTAACTACATGTACTTACTATAATGTTAGGATTTGGCTTAGGGTTACTTGCATGCAATTATGCATAATTTATTGTTAGTATATGCGACAAAATAAAGTGTTACCAAAAATACTTCTAAAGCATTTCTTAATCTTAGTTAAATATAAGTTATAAATTATATCTGCTTTTATTATTTACTGGACCTGGGATAACATGAACTGACAATAAACAGTTGTTTACTAGCATTAACTAAAAGATGAAAAAATCTGTAACAGTATTGCTTATTGTTAGTTTACGTTAGTTGATGCATTAACTAATTTGAACTTATGGGACTTTATTGGAAAGTGTTATTTAATATGCTGTGAAGTCAAGTCACATTTATTTGTATAGCGCTTTATACAATAAAGATTTTTTTCTAAGCAGCTTTACAAAAATAAACAGGAAAATAACTGTATTGCAAAATGCATCGCTAAACGTCACGCACACACACTCCCACTGTCTACAAACAAATATGCTTATAGATGTCTGTAATAATAGCCTCACAAGCTATGATTTTACTAGTGTGATAATTGATAAAACTGTGAAACCAACTCAATCTCATTAGAAAACATAACTGTTTTATAAAGTGGTATTTTTGAATGAATTTGTATGATGCAGTTTGTATGTACAGATACATGCTGTTTTTAGAGAAAAAAAAATAGATACAAATAAAAAAGTTCCACCCAATACATTAGCCACCAAATCTTAAAGTAGTTATGATTACAAATTGCCATTAGAGTGTGTTAGAGAGACTTTTTTTTAAATGTAAGTCTTATGTTTAACTTGACTAATACTGTTCCTGTAGTCTATAGTACTTGTTTTGTCATTAAAAAAATCTCTCTTTAGTGTTTAATGTTTTTTTTTTTTTTTTGATAATCTAGTTGAGGAAATTGTGTGTGATTGTGTTAACATACATGAACTTGAAGGTTATATGTTCATTTAGTCTAAAACAGAATAGTAGCGTTCATTGTATGTGTGTGTACATATGTGTGTATTGGTGATGTGTGTATTTTCTGCATGTGCACTAAGCTACAGTAAGTGTGTTTATGTGTGTGTTTAGGTGGACACCATGGAAATGATGCGTCACCCAGAGGAAACCACTAACATGAGGAGACAGACAGTGGCGTCTTATTTCAGGGTGAGTCCTCAGCTCCTCACATCATCAGTTTTGTAGGCAACACTTTAGTATAGGGACCATTTCTCACTATTAACTAGTTGCTTATTAGCATGCCGAGTTAAGGGATCTAGAATATGCTCACACAAAATAAAGCATTAATATGTGCTTTATAAGTACTAATAAACAGCCAATATGCTAGTAATATGCATGCTAATAAGCAACTAGTTAATAGTGAGAATTGGTCTCTAAAATAAAGTTTTACCATTCAATTAATGGTGTTTGTTGATTGCTATTGCTCATATTTATGGTTAAGAATCTAAACCCTCAAAGGGTTAGTTCACCCAAAAATGTCATTCCAAACCAATAAGAACCAATTAATCTTTGGAACACAAATGAAGATCATTTTAATATTCTCTGATTTGGTTCTCGTGTGTCATGAAAGCATGGTTTACCATATTTGATGAGCTATGTGTACAGGATGTGCATTGATTAATGTTAGTATGTGAATAAAAGCATAAATGAAATCTGTTCATCATATAAAGTGAAGACTTGGATTAAACCGCTTGATTAATTTGGAGTAGTTTTTATGAACTATTTCAAGCTTGACATTTTTGGTTGGTTTAAAGGATACACAGTGATGAGAGATTATTAAAATATTTCCCTTTGTGTTTCAAAGAGGAACATTAGTCTTATGAGTTTGGATTAGACATATGGACTTATATTGAAGGAGAGACTCAAGCTATATTTAGATCATAGTATTATAGACTTGAGATTCTGTCAATAAGAAACCATCAAGCACCCACCCATAACGCCAAAGAATTATATCAGCATTATTATCAGGAAACATATAAATGTAGATTTAGGTTCTTTATTGACTGGAATTCCTGCTCCATTTTAAGAGGTTATGTTATGAAAGGTGGTCATAATTATTAAGTTATCCTGCAAAGAAGAAGAAAAAAAAAAAAAACATTCGGACTCCAAGTCCAGACTTCATCAGTTATGCAGTCAAATGACATTATTCCGGGCGTTCCTGTTGGACCACAGGAATGTTATTAGATTTAATTAGCCGAAGCTCTTGGGCTTCATGAAAAGAAGGAAAAAAGACAGACAGACAGACAGTTAGAGAGATCAAAGCTCTATGAGCGCATATTGAATAGACCCACCTCCTCTAGTGCTCACTAAAGCTCCTGGGAAACTTCACGTTGCAGGTTTATTATCTATATATTTTGACAGCTCTGAACGAAGACCATAATCTCATCAATAATAGGTCATTAAGCCTCTGAGAATACAAGTGATGCTAAATTAGACTCTGGTTGAGTAATTAGTGCTGAAGTGGTACTTTGAAGGGGCGGAGTGAATCCGCTGAAAGTTTCTCAGCGCGTGGAAATTCATGGCCCAAATTTACTTTTCCGAGGCTTTTGGGAATCGCACTTCATTTTCCATAAACTTTTCTCTTTCTTGCGCTTTCTTTCAAGCCATCCATCTCTTTCTCTCGTGGGCCGTGAGACGGTGGACATGTAGGTCATCTCTTTTACATAAACATCCCAGACAATTTCTCTGCGCTCAGAGGGGCCGCTCAAACGCAAGAGCCTCGCCGGCTTTTTTTCCCGTCATCCTTTTGATCACAGAAGTGTCCTGATTATCCGTATTTTCCCCAGACGTCCCCAACCAGTTGGCATAAAAAAAAAAGAAGTACTCTGTGACCGTTCTGTTTGCGTTTCCTGCTACGTCTGGAGCTGTTCCTGATCCGCACTGACACCAGCTCCGTAAATCCAGTTTCTGTATAGATTCAAACGGATCTTTTTGGAAAACCTTGTGAAGGAGAGCTCTTTGTATTTTCAACCCGAGACATAACAGCCATCAGGAGCATAATTATGAAAGACCACGGTTCAAGTGGAATCAAAGGCAGTATTCTTTCTTAAACACAAAGGCTGATATCTTCCTCTTCAGAGTGAGTAAATACACCCAGGATCAACCGCAAGCTTCAGATGTTTCTATGAGACTCATTTATGAGATTCAGGCCAGTGTATTTATAGGCAGGCATATTCAGAAGTATAACTGATGGCCCCCAGACAATAACAACAAGGCAACAATGGCCCCATGTCTAGTGATTTATCAGAGAATCAGGTGCCGCTTTACCTTTCTGTTCTGACCGTCAGAGGTTTTTGCAGCAGGAAGATGTTATCATTGGAATATCTAGAGCGATCTGGACCGTAGTCTTTTATCTTGTTCTATGCAAAACAGTCTTAAAGGTGAAGTGTGTCATTTTTGCTGTACTAGTGGCACCAGACGGAACTGCAAAAATAAGGACTGGCTATGTTTAGTATGTAGTACTACATTTAGTGAATGGTGTCAAGTTGAAGAAAAAAAAAGGTTATTGTGCTGCAGGAGTGATTTTTATTTATTTTTTTGACGTTGAAGACATGCAACGGTGGCGTAGTTCGTTTAGTTTTTTACTTCTGTCAATTGTATTTTAAGCATCAAAACATTTTCTCCATACAACTTTGTTTGATACAGTATGATCAGTCAAGTTAATGAACGTTTGAGCTTATAAAGAAACCTAAGTGTGCTTAGCATTGTCCATTTATAAATAATTTTGAGTGGTGTAATGCGAGTCTGGTCATTTTGATTTTCTTGCAGGTACTACTATCTGGCCTTTCGTGCCCATCACATGCCAGAGGGCAGTAGAGAGAACGCCATCGTTATACTGCAGAGAGCCAAACTGGACAACTGGGTCCTGGGAAAGACCAAGGTACAGTTATCATCATCCCGTTGAAATATTTTGTTCATTTTCTGTTCATCATTTTCTCTCTCTCTCCATTAGTGTTCTTCAATTTAGTGTGTTGTTTTGCAAAACAACAAAAAGTACCAAACATACTATTATACTATCAATAAATGTTACCCTGTACTGCAAAAAAATAATTATATAAACGCGGTACATAAACATAAGATGCGTCCCAGTTTGCATAGTTATGCACTATTTTATGCTGTTTTGTCGTATAAATAGTGCGAGTAGTGTGTTCACACTGAAAATTCCAAAAAGAAAAAGTGCCCAACCAAATGATGCACTTAAAGGGATAGTTCACCCAAAAATGAAAATTCTGTCATTAATTACTCACCCTCATATCGTTCCAAACCTGTAAGACCTTCATTCATCTTCAGAACACAAATTAAGATATTTTTGATGAAATCCAAGAGCTTTCTGACCCTCCATTGAGAGCAATGCAACTGAAAGGCTTTCATTTTTGTGCTCATAACAGCTGTTAGAATGTCTACTAGAAAATGCATAGAGCAGGAAGAGCTCTGGACATTGACCAAACTAACTAAACAAGCTCTACACATATCTGACTTTGTGCCTCAGAGACGGTTAAGTGGGATGTCTACTATAGATATATGTAATTTATTATTAATTTACCTTTAATAGCACAGAAAAGCTTTCTCCTTTAGTGCATTTCTGTCAGACCAATGCTTGCAGAAAAAGTATTTATGCGCCAAGGTCATGGTTTCTTTCCACACATTTTTTCACAATCGTTCACTCTCACTTCTGTCTGTCTGAGAAGTCAAGGTAGTTATCTGTGAATCTAATTGACCAGATGGTTGGCACCTGCAACCATCTTGATGATTTTGTGTCCCCGACAGACACATGAAGGTGGTGTTTTTATTGTATGAGGTATGAGCATGCTTCCCTGCATCTGCATAGATGTGTGTTTGTGTCTTGCAGGTGTTTCTGAAGTACTATCACGTGGAGCAGCTCAATCTGATGTTGCGGGAGGTGATCGCGCGGGTGGTGTTGATGCAGGCCTACACCAAAGGCTGGCTGGGAGCTCGGCGGTACCGAAAAGAGAGAGAGAAACGCAACAACGGAGCGATTATCATACAGTCAGGTTCTTGCAACCCAGACTCATTACCAAATGACTGTGATACAGTAATAGATGCATGTGCAGGGCTCATGTTCAGGCTAGTTTAAGAGGATCAATGCATTTTACATTTGTTGATCATGTGTGATGATTTATTTCTGCAACCAAAATAATGTTATATATCTGTCTAATATAAAAGAGGACAAAATATGGTTAGAATGGATGGAAAATTCTAAACAAAAATGGGCTGCACTATACTGTATGTCATTTTACAGCAAACTAGTGTTTATAATTTAACAACTCGCTTTATATAGACTGTTGTTCAGAATTTTGGGGTTGGTAAAACTTTTTATGTTTTTGCTCACAAAAGCTGCATTTATTTTGGTAAAAAAAAATAAAAATCAAATAACTGTTTTCTATTGTAATACATTTTCAAATGTGATTTATTCCTGTGATGCAAAGCTGAATTTTCAGCATCATTACTCCAGTCTTCAGTGTCACATGATCCTTCAGAAATCATTCTAATATGCTGATGCTCAAGAAAATTCTAATGTTGAAATCAGTTGTGCTGCTTAATATTTTTATGGAAACAGGGTTCTTTCATCATTAGAAAGTTTAAAAGAAATACAGAGTTCTGGCATGAAACTCTAGATGGCGCAGTCCGATAGGTCTAACTCAATCTGACCTAATGACATCATTATCACATGGCACAGCTGATTGGTTCTCTCCTGTATCGGTAGCCAATGAGCTCGCTGCTCAACATTCAAATATATGACTAGTGCTTGCCGTAGCAGCTGCAGCTTGCTTCAGAAACCCTCCACCTTCCCCAGCTCCACCTGTATAGATCTGCTATGAGGTGATTCATGTATGCTATATGGGGGTTATTTCATGTATGTTATATTTGCAGCAGCAATATTTCTTACATGCTCACAGCAGCATGTTGTGGATGTATTGGCAGAAGCAAGTCTCTGTATTTGCTCTGCCGCAGCGGCAGCAGCAGCGTAGCAGATCTGTTCCGCCAAGACCAAATACATTAACATTATCATGTACATTACCATGCCAATCCCTCCGAGAGCTGTCATGACAGAACATCATTTATTTGAAATATAAATATTTTTAATATTGTCACTCTTGATTAGTCTAATGCTGAATAAAAGTATTAATTTCTTTTAAATTAGAATTTTACTGACCCCAAAAATAAACATAGTTTATATTTGTGACTGTGACTGTGATCTCCGTTTGTATTACACTGCTGTGATGAATACTAGAAATTGTTTGCTACTATAAACTAGTATTTTGTGTTTTAATCCCCTCATGTCTCTCTTTGTGTCTCTGTGTAGCCTGGAGGGGTTACGTGGCCCGTCAGAATCTGAAGCAGATAAAGAGAGAGCGTGAGCAGGCTGCTGTACGGATCCAGTCAGGTACACATCTCTGAACGCTCTGTGAAACTCAAATAAAACTAATGTCACAATACTGTGGAAACATTCCCTGGAGAAATTCTACTCTTTACTTTCATTTTCTTAATTTTTTTCTCTCTGTGTCTCTCAATTTCAGTGTAGTGTGATTTATTGGCATGACAAACAACACTCATTTGTAATGTTATTGCATCTGAACTGCAAACAAGGGAAAAGTGCAAAATAAAGTATAATAGAAATTATGAAAATCAAACAAGAACAACACTGCAAAATAAAAAGAAATAATTGTTTCTGACTCAAAAGACACTGAATATTTAAATATTTATATTATTAATATTTAATATTATACAAAAACGATTCATAACCCATTAGACACCATTCAAATGTTTGGGTCTGTAAGATTTTTATTTATTTATTAATTTTTTTAAGAAATTAATGTTTATTTAGCAAGAATGCATTTAATTGATCAAAAGTGACAGTGAACATTCATAATGTTACAAAATATTTCAAATATTTGTCAAATAAATTCTATTATTTTGAACTTTCTATTAATAAACCGAAAAATAAATAAATAAATGTATCGCAGTTTCCATAAAAAATATTAAACAGTCCAACTGTTTTCAGAAATGTTTCTTGTGAAGACTGGAGTAATGATGCTGAAAATTCAGCTTTGCCATTACATGAATAAATTACATTTTAAAATATGTATTCAAACAGAAGTCTACAGTTATTTTAACTGTAATTTTAATTAATTAAATTATTAATTAAATATTAATGAATTCATATTTAATTAAATTGCTGTCTTTATTGTAGTTTTGATCAAATAAATGCAGCCTTGGTGAGTATAAAAGATTATTTCGGAAACATTAAAAAAATCATACTGCCCCCAAACTTTTGAATGTTAGTGTAATTAAACATAAACCAAATATATTAATCAAGTTGACTGGACCATTTGGAAAAATAAGAAAGAAAAAGCTCTTTCTTTCTGTCTTTCCAAACCTCTCCAAACTTGCATTTTTTAATTTTTCTTCCAATCATAAACTCCAGCCTTCTCACAAAGTAACTTTTTTGATCTCAACAAACAATCCCATGAACCAGTGCTGCTAAATTAATAATGTGTGAAGCCAGCGTCTCTTTTGCAAGTTTGGGTCGCAGCATTTGGTCCCCATGTTTCAGTAGAATGCTGCATTTTGAGCTTCTCTCTTTGCTTTCATCTGTTTCCCAGTGCAGGAGCGGAGAGAGAGAGAGAGAGCGATAGAGAGAGGGCTGGGGGCTCCCTGCCACTTCCCCTCTCACATTCCCGGCCCATTACAGACTCTCACATACCAGAAACAAGATGGCTTTTTATACTGTCACCCTTTTCATCTGAAATGTAAATGAATTCTTACTCGGTGTGGCCTGACGGAGATCAAAGCGGGTGTATTAACCTTCTGAGGGTGTGAGGAGGGAGGGGCGGAGGCAGGGGTCCAGGGGGAGGAAGGAGAGGGAGGAGTGGTGCTATTGTTCTCCTCTCCTCTTCTGGAGTACTTCAATTCCCCTTTTTGGCAGACGTCTCTCTCTGGCTCTGTGCTCGCAGTGTGTGCGCTGGTGCAGGTGGCGCAGTGTTTGGCCACATGTTCAGAGCCGTGTAGAGGTGTGTGCATCCACTTTGAGGTGGGCCGCATTAGCATTTCTAAAACAAACACTCGTCTTTCAAACGGTTGAGATCCATAGGCTGAGAATATGCTGAGCACAGTATGCAAATTAAACAGCGGCTTTCAGTAGGGAAAATGTTTTCTATATCCATATAAGATATCTATAGGAAATTACTGGTGAGCATTGTGTTTTGAGGTTTATCTTGCACAAGCAAAACTACAGTAAATGGCAACTATATGAAAGATTTTATAAGACCTGTATTTATTATGTTTTATGATGGTAGTCAAAACATCATTGACTCACTTCATGTCATTCCAGACCTGTATGCATTTTAAACCTGTATTCAGAAAAAAATGAAGATATTTTGAAGAAGTGAAAGTGAAAAAGTGAAAGTGAAGTGAGATGTGGCCAAGTATGGAATTAGTGCTCTGCATTTAACCCATCCTTAGTGCACACACACAGCAGTGAACACACACACACCCGGAGCAGTGGGCAGCCATTTTTGCTGCGGCGCCCGGGGAGCAGTTGGGGGTTCGGTGCCTTGCTCAAGGGCACCTCAGTCATGGTACTGAAGGTGGGAGAGCGCTGTACATTCACTCCCCCCACCTACAATCCCTGCCGGTACGAGACTCAAACCCGCAACCTTTGGGTTACGAGTCCGACTCTCTAACCATTAGGCCACGACTTCCCCCAGAATGTCACTAACCAAACAGTTTCAGGTTTCTTTTTTTTTTTTTATAATGTGGACGTCAATGGAACCATGACATTTTTCAGAATATCTTGTTTTTTGTTCCATAGAAGAAAGAAACTCATACAAGTTTGGAAAGGCATGAGAGGAATAATTGATGACAGAATTCATTTTGAATTAATTGAATTCATTTTTGGGTGAATCTCTCTAAGGCATTATAACGCATCCATTGCCTCATAAAAACACCTTATAATTTGTTTTATTGTCTAATGATTAATCGTAACAATAGTTATAATACTTACGTATTAGTAGTTATAATTTTTAGGAGTGTGGTAATTTTATAACACATTATAAACACCATGTTATATCCACTGAAGTTATAATGGATTATAGTTCTTATAGTTATAATGTATTATAAGTCACTTAAATTGTCATTGTCAGTATCTCCCTACATCTTATGAGTGGTTTGGAGTGGTTGTTCATATTTGAGTATGAACAACTACTTCACTGTGAGCTACTTTAAGCTCACTGGTAACACATTTAAATCTGAATCAATGCAATATGGTTTTGTTGAATTGTGCAAATGTGTCATATAAGCACATTCATGATAACTTATGGCTACTAAAAAAACCACAGATAAAGACGACTTACAAATATAATTACCACATTGTAAAGCCTTTTGGATTTTTTCAAGAAGACTTTGCATTTCTCACTTTACAGTAAACGTAAGATGTAGTAAGATACTGTGCAGATTTTAAATAAACAGTGTCAATATGACTGAGACTTGTAGCTAGGGGAACTATAATCCATTATAAATTGTGTAGTGAATATGACATGGTGTCTGTTCATCATGTGTTATAAACCATCATACTCTTGAAAGTTTAACCACAAATAGTTAAGCATTATAATGTCTTATAACTGTTGTTACAATTGTTCATGTCCAACATAAGGTTTTTATACTTGCGATATAATTATGGTAATAATGGAAAGTGTTCAAGCGGTGTTCCATAATTTGCATCCTGTGTTGTATTTCCCAAAAGTATTGTTAGCCTACTATATATGCAAGTTTTGTCATTGCAAGTTTTGTTTCCAAAAAACCTAAATCTAACAAACATTCTCAAACACCATCATAAAGTTGTTTGTAGATTGTTGTTAGTATGATATGGGCACAGTAAGCAAGCCAGCATGCAGCGCATTCTGTATAAGTATGTCAACAATCAGCAGTGTTCTTGAGGAGGTGCGTAAATGTGTAAGGGAGTCCTGGAGTGTGACATGAGGAAACTCAAGATAAATCAAACACTAATAAAACGAAACGACAGGGAACAAAAAATAGCGAGGTACTCCTCAGGTGACGTGTTCAATAGAGCAGCATCTCAGAGAAATTATGTCGTGGAGAAAGCTGCTGACGACATTTAATTACAGTATATGGGAGTAAAGTGTACACCAATTAAATACTGCGTGTTAATGTGGTTAAAAAATGAACAATTTTCTGTTGTGTAAATGAACTGTACAGGAAACAGTCATGACTAGCAAGTTAGTTTCTACTATGATGCATACCGTGGTTAAGCAGCAAGTTACGTTGTGTACAAGAAACACACTCCTGGATGAATATATATCTGAACATAACACATGGCAAACTATCCACTTCCACACTGTTTCCAGTGGTTTGTGTGTTTGAGTTCACACCCTGATCTGCTCTGATTAAAGCTAAAGTTTTGTAAGTTTTAATTGGACGTCTCATTGAAAGTGGATTAAATGACTGATTTAGCATTTTAGAGCAGCGCTGCTGCTTTCATGTGTTCTGGGGTTTACACTCATTTGTATGAGTGATAAAGTATTAATTACTCACTCAGAGCTCATTGTGTTTTTATCCTAAACATTCACTTAGTGTGTCTGATCAAAGGAAACGGTTTATCCGAATCTATGTATACAAGTAGGAAACTTTTACATTACATTCAATACAACGAAAAAGAAAAATTTGCTATTAGTCATATTAATTTGTGGGATTCTTTTATTTAATGGAGTTTGCAAACATCACCATTATCATTGCTCAAACTTAGTGTTCCTGATTTGGACAAACCCACTCTCTGTGTTAATCTTTAGAGCACCTTTTGTGCTACAGATTCCTCAATTGGTGTGCTGTTACATTTCTAAGCAGTCATATTTATAATTCTCTCTCCTTGTAGATGATAAAGCTAGTAAATTGTGATTTGTGTTATTTTATTCATTGTATGATCGTGTGAATATGTGTTACAGCATACAGAGGCTACAGAGTCAGGAAAGACTACAGACAGAGTCGACAGTGGACTGGGTGAGTGAGGGTGTGTTCATTGTGTTTGTTTCCTTTGTATGTTATCACAGTGTATTTTGCATGATTGTGTGTTTAGGTGTCTGTTTGTTCTATACACTAGGTCCCCTATGGCCTGTCCCAGTGATGTTGTGTTATGGTGTGTGCAAGTATTGTATTCACCTTCCTTAAGTCACAACTCTTGAGTGACTATCCACTCGCATACACATGCACTCTGTGAATAAACACCAGTAGATGATCGTCTTTAACCTTTGACAGCAGGTTCTGTTTCTGACAGATTATGTTGCAGTGCTGAATGCAAGTCAGTGTACAACAAAATGCTGATCAACTCAACTATAACTATCAGCTCGTTATAAAAAAAAAATGCAAGAAAGGTTGACAATACAAAATGATTTAATTTGACCAAAAAAAAAAATATATATATATATATATTAGTTTTGTTTTGGTTGGTTTTGTTTTGTTTGTCTTCTCTTGTCTTGGTTTGGTTTGTTCAGAAATGACACAAACTGCACTCAATCATGCACTGCCCTCCACAGCTCAAGGTGTAAAAGGATGTGCACTAGACACTTTTTGAAACATATTTTTAAATGTCTGCCTGTTTAAAAGAATATGAATCCTAATTTACATTCCTAATTAATTAAAACGAGCTCTCTGAGCTATGGTTACGTTTAGTGATTTATAGTACAGATTTATATTATTTTTTAGACCTATGCAGCAGAGAGATTGCTGACAATCATATCATAACTCGTTTTAATAGATTTCATAAAATCCAAAGTTTTCATCCGAGAGTCTGAGAGTGTTTTGGGTGAGTGTATATGTTTATGTGTGTATGTGTGTATCCTCCAGCTAGTTGGCTTATCAGAGGGGATTCTCAATGCTTGTTTATATCAGAAGTCTCAGTGGTGAAACTTCAAACCTCACACTTTGCTATTCTGTTTCATCAGGGCTGGAAAGAAGCATTATAGATTTATTTTGACATCAACTGGACCAATTATCCCTTGTAAAGTTCATAAACTTACCTACATGCTCATTAGCTGACAGGAGCAGGTGTGTGTGTGTGTGTGTGTGTGTGTGCCTTTAAATCATACATGTTCATCAGAGTTACTGCATTAAACAGTTATGTCAGGGTTGGTGACTGTGACAAACTGGATGATGATGCCATTGATATTGACATTAATATTTTGTGTTGCTCAGGAGACTTATGGCCTGACACAAATATTTGCTGTGACGCTGCATTCAGAATCATTTGTAGAGGTTTGATTGTGCTTGATGGAAGTCCAGCTAGAAGAGCATTGCAGTAGTCCAGCCTAGAAATGACAAGGGCCTGGACAAGAAGTTGTGCAGCATGCTCCGTTAGGAAGGGCCTGAATTGTCTGGTGTTGTGCAATGCAAACCTGCAAGATCGAGCAGTTTTTGCAATGTGGTCTTTGAAAGTTAGCTGGTCATCAAAGATTACACCAAGATTTCTGACCGAAGTTGATGGGGTAATTGTAGAAGAACCTAACTGGACGGCGAAATCGTGCTGTAGAGATGGAGTGGCAGGGAAGACAAGAAGCTCAGTCTTTGCCAGATTGAGCTGTAGGTGATGTTTTTTCATCCATGCCGAGATGTCCTCCAGCAGTGTTGGGCAGTAACGCATTACTTAGTAACGCGTTACTGTAATTTGATTACTTTTTTAGTAACGGAGTAATTTAACGTGTTATAATTTTCAAAATAGTAATTAGAGTATAGTTACAAGCCGAGGTCTCTATACGTTACTGTTGTAGCGAATCAGCTCATGGGGAAATATGAATAATTAATCATAACTAGTTATAATTAATTATAAACATTTAGATCCGCTGTAGATATTTACTTGACCTCTCAGGGTCAACTGTCTGTCAATTCTAAGAACGTTAATTTCCTGGTTAAGGGAAATAACTTTCTTACTGTACAACTCTACACAGAGCCTGTAGCATAAATCTGCAGTTATGAGCAAACAATGACCAACGTCAAGTGTGATACAAGTAAGACTTTATTAACTACATAAACACTTAAACTAGTCTAACATACTACATAAACAATTAAACTGGTCTAACATACACATAAACACACACACACACACGCATACAGTTGGTATAGGAAAAGG